AGAAAATTTAGATGAACAGATTTTTTTTTAAGTTAGGGAAAAAAGTGGCTTCCTCAATTTGTCAGAGAACTACATATTTTAAAGAAAACAATGGAATAGTCTTACGGTTACTCTCACAGATAACAAGAGTAGGATTTGATCAAGAATAAATTTATTTAAATGTTATAAAAGGAGAGAATATATAGAGGGAATGAGTCCAGCTGAGCATTAAGTTTGTACAGATTTTTCATTTTTTCAGACAAGATATGGATAAATAAAAAATAAATTCACAGAGAAAAACAGAAGAAAGGGTTGCACCTAATTCTACCACTTCTCTCCTACCCATTTATTTTTTAAGAAAAATGACAACTAGTTGAAGCCACAACATCACTATTTATTCTCGAGAGACTAAGAAATATTTTGCTTTCTACAGAAAGACGTGAGCTCTACATCTGTGATCTGGGCATTTCTTACTTTCTCCAGCTGGTGTTTCTGTGTAAGAAGTTTGAGCTTTTGTTATTCATGCTTTTCAAAGATTCTTTAACTTCAACATCTCTGTTTTCCATTTATATACTAAAATTTAAGTGACTAAAACAGAGTATGCTCAAAATTTAAGAAGTTCTCTGATTTTGCCTGGAAGATTCAGTAATGTATAAATATTGGGAGTAGAGGAGTCAGGTTTAATGTTAAAAGTAGCCCATTGTTTTGGATTTGCCCTTTTGCGGGCTTTGGAGTCAACAACCTCCAATTCTAAACCCCAACTTGCTGCATACCAGTTGTGTTTCTATGCAAAAGTTTCTTACCACTTATAAACTAGTTTTAAGTTTTTTTTTTTTGGTGGGCACTAACCTGAACACAATGCCATAATTACTTGTACACGAGCTTATAATTTAAAAAGTTGCTTATCACCTATTATCAAAATTGATCCTTTCAACAAATCTCTGAATTTTACAGAATATGGTATGCATATCTAGTTTCCAGAAAAAAGAAAACATTACTATATAGAAATTAAGTAACTTACAATGATAATATTTTAAGTTAGCGGTGACTTCAGAAATGCAATCAGGAGAAAAGCAAATATAACATAAAGACTTTTTTTTCTTTAGACTTTTATGGGAATGTCTGACAATTAAAACTGAAGATTTTTGTGTCTGTGAGAAAGTTAAATAAATTAAAAAAATTAAAAAAATACCAAGTAGAGAAGTTAAGGATCAGTCTTCTAACCAAGACAATTAGAGACTGAAGAAATAATTTTTAGCAAACTCATAATAAAGTTTCAAGGGAGCTCTGGTGGCCTAGTGGGCAAGGAGTTGTGCTGTCAACTCAAAGGCCCATAGTTCAACTCTACCAGCCTCTCTGTGGCTGAGGATGGGCGCTCTCTTCTAGTGAGATTCACTGCCTCTGATAAACTGCTGCAGTGTCTGTTATGCGTCTGTTCCGATTGGCAGCACATAACAAGAGCATATAGTTTCAAAGGAATGGATATGCTTACTTTTTTTAAATTATTATTAAATTTTATTACTTTTAATGAACATTTACAGAGATTTTGGGTTCTCATTCATTCATTGTTGCACTGTTTTCTCTATCCTCCTCCCCAGTTCATTCTTCTTCCCCCCAATGTCTGTTTTAATTGTCCAATTGCCACAGTGCTTGTCAAAGCCAGTTCTGATTAATCTCCTTTGTCAGTGTGTCCTTTGCCATTCCCTATCACTCCTCCCTGAGAGAGACTTCACCCTGATTCATAAGGAAAAGGGGATGGCGTATTCTCTTAGCTACTTCCTGCTGAAAAGGGACGCTGTGGGTTTCAGGGTGAAGATCTTCTCTCACTACTCTAAAGGGCCCCTTTGGCAGAAGGAAACACAGACTATTATGGATATTGCTTTTGGAATTTAGATGCACTGTTACTAATTGTGCTTAGCCATACATGTTCACATCCTTGAAGATGTATCATGGAGGTCTTGGATATGCTTACTTTTAAAAACATTGTTTTCCTTAAGAAATAAAGGTGTATTGTATCTTAGTTTGCTCACAATCTTCCCTGCTTTACTTTTTTTAGAGACTTAATTGTGTTTGATAGGCTTGGCATGCTCAAGGGTCCATGATATACGTATTTCACATAGCTTTTAAGTCTACATATTTTAAATACAGGAGACTTTTAAAAAAATTTTTATTTTATTTCATTATTTTTTGTGTGTACCGTCAAATCAGATCTGACTGATACAGGAGGAGATTGTTCCTCCTTCTCCAGCAGAGCATCTGGTGGATTTGAACCCTGTACCTCTGAGATTGCAGTGCAGCTTCTTGCCGCTAGGCCACCAGAGCTCACCACAGGACACTTTTAAGAACAATTCAAACGAAGATTATTATAGGCAATGTTATTTTATTCAGATTAAAAGAAATAGTTTTTCTTACATAAAGCATTGTCGTTGTTGTTGTTATGTGCCGTCGAGTCACCTGTGACTCCTAGCGACCCTATGTACAACAGCCCTAAACTCTGCTCTATCCTGTGCCAATTGCATTAACTCTGACACTCCCATCCTTATTACCCCAGTCACTGAATCAATCCACCTCATAGAGGGCCTTCCCCTCTTGCACCGTCCCTCCACCCTCCCAAGCATGATGGGGCTTCGTCTGACATATTTTGGATATGTTGTAAGGAGGGACAGGTCCTTGGAGAAGGACATCATCATCATCAAGCATTGCTATTTTCTTATTTTAGAAGTGGTCAGAATCTATTTATCAATAAAGTTTTCCTTAATCCATTCCTAGTTCTTCTAAGTCCAACACCTCAAAAATTCCATTTCTAGTACATTGTTGTTGTTGTTGTGTACCACCAAATTGTAACTGACCCATAGCTCACTCTCCAGCAGGTTCTCAGAGGCAGTTAAGGGCATAGCAACTGGCGGGTTCAAGCTTCATGCATTGGGGATTCAGCGGCATTTCTTATTTATTGTAGAGGTAGCGATGCTAACTTGATCAGTGACAGAGAGAAAAGAGAAGAAAATTTAACTAGATTTGATTGGGAAGCCAATTATGAGATGAGGGTTGAAAATTCACACTATAAAAGTAAAGGGAATTTCAGCACTACTGGGGAAGATTAATTGTAGAAATTTTGATGTAAAATTATGAAAGGATTTGATTAGCTATATAGTTGGTTTAATAATTTTTATCAGCATCCACAGTTCTAACAACCTGTAATCACACCAAGTCTGATCATGTCCTGGTCTAATGTTTCCAGTTTATGTAATCAGGTCATATTGGTACTACATAATTTTTCTTAATTAAAGAGAGTTACATTAGCAATATATTGTGCTCCATAATTTTCATTTAAAAATAATACGATTGGTGGAAGGAAATTTCACTTACAGAGACATGCTGGATTCCTAATAATTTAAAAATAATAAGTAATATTTTAATAGCCCGGAGTCAAAACTATGTTCATAATATTGAGCATTAATAAAATTTATAGAATTTAAAATTCCAGAGTTCCAAAATTTAAAATAGAACTTGACAATGAACTATTATTTCAGTGCAATAAATTTTGAAGACAAAGCAAGCGTTTTTTTTTTAAATTTTATTCATTCAAATAGGTAAAATGACATTCTTTCAGGGTAAAAGCATTTTGCTGCATAAAACAAAGGATAATACATAGGTCTCAACCCCTTATCTGCTTATAAATCTCAAAGTCTGGATTGACAAATCACTTTCTGTGAAATTCATGAGAATGGAAAACAAGATTTCATTGGAAAAATATGAAACGACAATAAACAACAGAAACAACAGAAATGAAAAAATATTTTGAACTGTCCAATACAGTATTCTATTTTAAGGGTAAAACTTTATTGTAGCATTCCACCTGCTTGGTTTTCTTTACTCTTTAAGTTTATTTACTGGTCCAGTCAAGTTTTTGTTCTCATTGATTTCATCATAGAACGAAACATTCTTGTCTTTTAAAATATCAACAGTTGTTTCCCATAATTCATTAACGACCCAGTCGTTTTTATCTCACTGTCATTAATTATAAATTAGAAAACAAATAGTATCAAAATATTTCACAGAATGTTGGTATAAGCCTATTGAAAAATATCCTTTAATTTAAAATATATGTATGTAGATTTTCCTTTATTTAGCTTTTTTTTTTTAAATTGTACTTTAGGGTTTATTTATCATACGTCCTTATTTGGAGATGGATTTAAAATGATGTATAATACATTATTAAGAACAGCTTAAAATCATATTCTCATGTCCACAATTTTAAAATGATAGCTGTGTAATATTCTAAATATTTGAATCCTAGAAGGAAGCTCTGGTACCTTAGTGGGTAAGCACTTGTGCCGTCAATTAAATGTCAGATGGTTCAAAAATGATCACTTTTTATCTCATGCAATGTATAGTCTCTTAAAATCCACTGGAGAGTCCCCTGTGAGTCAGTTTCAACTTGAAGGCATCTAACTACACCAGAAGGTAAGAAAGAAATGTTTGTAGCAATGTGTATTAAGCAGTGTGATACTAAAAGAAATGTTGACTATGAGAATGCACAAGTTCCTTTTAGAGGAAACTTGGCTTTGGTATATATTTATATACTTGTAAATCCTGGGGACATTCCTACCTCTTGTATGGGATAGCTGTGAATCACAATTGATTCGATTGGAATTTGTAGTTTGGTTAGTGAATAAGAGTTCTTTTCTTTTTAAATATCGCACCATCTTTAGAAATAGGCATTCCTAAAATAAACTATTGTTGCTTGATTAAAAACATTCCTGTCTACTCAGGCGTGGATGAATCACCCATTTCTGGAAGTTCTAATGAAAATCATCTACTATGTGCTCACACAGAGTTCCTAGACAGTCATTTCAACTGAAGATTTGATTTATATTCTCTAAGACAATCAAGACAGTTATTACCCACTTCTTCATATCTGAATGGCAAAATGTTACTACTCTTTTGAAGAAATATTTCTAAATACGGGCTCATGAATGACATCCTTTCAAGTGATTTATGTCTTCTTTGTAGGCTCAGGCATGGAGAAAAGCAATAATGTCACTGTATTTATTCTCTTGGGACTTTCTGAAAGCAAAAATATTGAAATCTTTTGCTTTGTATTGTTTCTATTTTGCTATATTGCTATCTGGATGGGAAATTTGCTCATAATGGTCTCTATTGCATGCAGTCCATTGTGGGAACAACCTATGTATTTCTTCCTGAATTACCTCTCACTTTCTGACCTTTGCTACACATCTACAGTGACACCTAAACTACTAGTGGACTTACTGTCAGAAAGGAAGACCATTTCCTACACTAGCTGCATGATACAGCTCTTTACGACACATTTCTTTGGTGGTGTTGAGATCTTTATCCTCACAGGGATGGCCTATGACAGATATGTGGCCATCTGTCAGCCCCTGCACTACACTGCCGTCATGAACAAACAGAGATGCAGCACCATCCTTGTAGCTTGTTGTACCGGGGGACTTACACACTCAGCCAGTCAGTTTCTCCTCACCATCTTCTTACCCTTCTGTGGCCCCAATGAGATAGATCACTACTTCTGCGATGTGTATCCTTTGCTGAAACTGGCCTGCACAAATACACACACGATTGGGCTTTTAGTCATTGCTAATTCCGGCCTAATTGCTGTGGTGACTTTTGTGGTCTTGATGTTATCTTACTTTTTTATACTGTACACTATCAGAGCATACTCTGCAGAGAGCCGCAGTAAAGCTCTTTCTACTTGTAGTTCTCACATAACGGTGGTGGTTCTCTTTTTTGCACCTGCATTATTCATTTATATTAGGCCAGCCACAACGTTTCCGGAAGATAAAGTGTTTGCTCTTTTCTACACCATCATTGCTCCCATGTTCAACCCTCTGATCTACACGCTAAGAAACACGGAGATGAAGAATGCTATGAGGAAGGTGTGGAGTCATCAAATGTTCTTGAAAGGAAAGTAACTTTCCAGAAGGATTCTATTATTCTAAGGCCAGGCCCTCTGGAATCACAAGTAAGGATAAGAGCCATTCCCATTATCTACCTGTACTGATTCACTGTTTGGAGAGAAAAAACAAAAGCAATGCTGTCTTTGTTATTCTGTGCTTCTGTATGACACATTTTAAGTACTGTTATTATTTATAAACTGCTCTATGACTTGACAATATCTAACAACACCGTCAACCTGTGATTTTAAGATTGTGCCAATATAATACAAAATAATAAATTGTGTGTATATGTGCATATGTGTGGAGGTGTGTGTGGAGAGAGAGAGAGACAGAGAGAGAGAGAGAGAGCACGTTATCAAGAAGATCTTATTATTACCAAGTTGAATCTACCCATAACTGGCCATCTACTAGGTACTAGGGTTTTGAGACTATAAATTGTACAAGCAATTGGAGAAAACAACAACAACAACAACAACAACAAACCCACCCACACACACAGAAAACAACCACCACCACCAACAAAACCCAAAACCAAAAAATCCCAAACTGCTTTCTTGATTGAATATACGCTTGCTGCAGAAGGTCAAGAACTGCAGTCTTCAATATAAATAGAAGCTCAACATCAAGGAAAAAAAGGTCTCATCATTGGGCCAATTGGCAGCATCATGATAGATGGTGAAGAGATTGAGATTGTTGACAGCTTCAGTTTGCTTGGCTTCATAAATAACACTTGGTGCCAGCAGCCAGGAAATTAAAAGATTAATTGTATTGGGAAAGTTTGCTGTCAGAGACCTCTCTCAAGTACTGAAGAGCAATGGTGTCAGTCTGGAGAACAAACAGGTTCATCCTAGAGAGGGAGAAATCATTCTGCTCTTTGGAGGCAAGGATTCTGAAGCTTTGTCTGACACATTGTGGATGTTGCAGGGAGGGACCAGTTCTTGAAGAGGGACATCATGCTTGGGAGGGGAGAGGGACAGCACAAGAAAGACCTTTGATGAGGTGAATTGATTCAGTGACTGATATAATGAGGTCATGTGTGTCAGAGACAATAAGATTGCCACAGGATAAAGCAGAGTTGTTGTACCAAGGGTAGCCATGAGTTACAACTGACTAGATGGGTCATAACAACAACAACAACAACATGCTATTGCAAATCGCTTCATCTTACTAACTCAGTGTTGCTAAATTGAAAATATCTATATCTTTATCTAAGCAAAGCAGCCAAATATCATTGTGTTGTTATTATTTACCAACAAGTTGCCTATGATGCAATAAGACTTACACAATAACTGAATCCTGTCCTATCCTGAGCCAGTCTCATTGTTTCTGACACACTTAACCCCATTGTCCCAGTTACTGTGCCTGTCTATCTCATCCATGGTTTTCCTTTTCTATGTTGTCCCCCCATCCTTCCAAGATGATATCCCTCTCCAAAGGCTGGTTTCTCCTGGGAACATGCCAAAATTGTGTGAAATGGAGTGTCAAAATCCTTGTCTCTAAGGAGAAAATTATTTCCACCCTCTCCAGGACAAATCTGTTCTCTTGGCAGTTTATGGAATGGTCAACACTCTTCTCCAGCACCACAACTCAAAGGCATCAATCCTTCTTCTGTCAACCTTAGTTGTTGTCCAGCTCTCTGACACATATAAACTAATTGCAAAGACCATAGCCTGGATCAGGCAGACCTTAGTCTTTAGAATGATGGTTTCATAAAAGTATATATAGTCAACATATTTCAATCAGCTGAATTTACTACTTATTTCTTTGCTAAAATGATTTCCCTTTCCCCTGGTTCTTGGGTCTTACAATAGAACTCCATTTGTTTTTGCATGCCTTCTCCTTTCTAGTACAAAGATCTTTGAGAACCTTGTTCTTTGCCTACAAGACCAACTCATAGCAAACCTATCAACAATAGATCAGCACTTTGCCCAGTCCTCTGTAGTCTTCATGATCTCTCACATGCTAATGTGTTGTTACAGTCATGTTGACAACACATTTCCTTGAGGGTCTTCATCTCTTTCTCTAATACTCTACTTTTCCCCCACACGATGTGTTTTCCGAGAACTGATCCCTCCTTATAACATGCCCAAAGTATGAGAGGCAAAGAGTTTCCATCTTTGTCTCTAAGGACCACTCTAGTTGCACTTATTCCAAGATATATATATATATATTCTATATCTCTATCTCTATCTCTATCTCGATCTCTATCATCTCTATCTATCTTTATCTCTCTATCTCTATCTCTATCATCTCTATCTATCATCTCTATCTATTTTTATCTCTCTCTATCTCTATCATCTCTATCTCTATCTCTATCTCTATCTCTATCTCTATCTCTATCTCTATATTGGAGTTCCTGTCCTCAAAAATTAACTCTCATTGATTCAGAGGGGTAAAGAACTGTGCTGACAACCCAAAGGAACAAGGTTTGAATCCTCTAGCTTCTCCATAGGAGAAAGATGAGCAGTTTCTCTCATGTGATTTACTGTCTCTGAAAACCAATTTGAAGGTCAGCTATGAGTCAGTTCTGACTTGAAGACACACAACAACATAGGTTGTTGTTATATAATGAGTTTTCTCAGGCTGTAAATCCTAATGAAGGAGATTCCCCATCTATCTCCCATAGAGCTGTTGGGGAATTTGAACTGGCCTCTTTTAGGTTAGCAGTGTAATTTCCTATGGACTATGCCACCAGAGCTCCCTCTTAAGGGAGGGAAAAAAAGACTAGTTTATCCTTTTGGCAGCCCATGGGTTATTCACTTTACCAACACCACAAAACAAATATTTCTCGGGTCACACATAAAATAGCACATGTTATGTGTACATTGCTCACTAATTTTCAGAAACAAATTTCTGTTGTTCTATTAACATACAAAGCAGATGTCTAGAATTAGCAGCTGGAAAGCCCTCTCATGACTCTATAATGCTTCCTCCCAAAGCTCTAAGATTGTAGACTGGTTTTCTCTGGTTTTGTACTTTTTGGTACAATAACAATTCAAGTTGTATTCTTTAGTGTCTGATTTATTGTCATTAGCTTTATAAGGTTGACTCAGTTACTTGTACATTTTGCTATTGTTCCAATTTAAGGGGTAAATGTTGTTGTTGGTGTTGTTGGTGTTGTTGATTGCCTTCGAGTCGAGCACGACTCCTAGCGACCCTATGAACAAAAGGCCTAAAGCCCCTCTACAACCATCGACACTATGAAAGTTCATAGAGTTTCTCGAGGGATGCCATTCCTGCTTCCAAAACTGTCATAGAATGTTATTGGTTGAGTCACCTGCAAAGCATAGTGACCCTATGCACAGCAGCTCTGAACCCTTCTCTGTCTGGATCCAGTCTAATTCCATCACACATACACCCATTATCCCAGTTGCTGTATCAATCCGTCTCATCCGGGGTCTCCCTTTCCTGTGCTGTCCATCTGCCCTTCCAAGCATGGTATTCTTCTCAAAGGACCAATACATGAATCAATTTATTGATTTGTTCATTTTCTTATAGTTATGCATGTCTAGTACTTTGGGAAATATTTTAAAATATGTCTTTTGGTAAATGTTCATCTTCTATTAATTTGTTTAGTATGTTTCATTTGTAATAAAGGTGCAAACACTTTAAGATTGTGCTTGTGTATTATACTGATGCAAAATAAAATGTTCATGAAGGAAAAAGAGTAGTTATCAGTAGAAAACATCAAGAATAGAATAGTGGAAACTAAAGCTCAAAATAGATGAAACTTGTGGTACTTCTAAGACCCATATGATAGGCTATGGCGTAAATTTCAATGAACTTGCTATTCATAGAAAAGTACTCAAACAATTAATTTGACATATGGCATGGGAGAGGGAGAGAAAAAAGTAGGAAAAGGAAGAGAAGAGGGGGAAAGTGGAAAGGGAAGATAAGAAAGACGAAGGAGAGAGAATATCTAAAAAAAGGTAGCTTACACAATGGAACGAAAAATAAAAATATCATGGAGAGAACGTAAGGGGATTTCAGCAAGTTTAACACATAAGCGATCACCATTCAGAAATATTATCAAATAAGATTCTTACAGTAGCATATGAGTTGCCTGGCATATTAAGTGAAACTTGGAAAACTCTATATTGTCCTTTGGAAGAAACATCTACTTCAGGAATGTGAAAAAAGAAGTCTGGAAACAGATAAAGATTTTAATAGTTAGGGCATGTGCTGCAGTTTCACATGCCCTTCCTCTCCAAACACAAACATCATTTGGAACAAAATCTTGCCTGTGGCTTTTATTTCCATCAGAACTACAGGAATAAACATTATATAGATAATTTGACCATTTTATTATCATCAATCACATTGATGCCTTTGAACTGAGGTATTAGTGAAGAGTCTTGAATATGTCATGAACTGCCAAATGAACAAATTTCTCCCGAAGATAGTGCAGCCAGGGTACCTTCCTGCCAACAAGACTCCCCAAATTATGACTACATTTGAGTATCCACTTCTTAGGAACCGCCATCAGCACATAGTGGCCTAGTGGCAAGAAGCTGCACTGCAATCCAGAAGACATACGGTTCTAATCCACTGTTTGCTTCTCTGGAGAAGGATGGGCAATCTCTTCCCTTGCAATTAGCTGCTTCTGAAAATCCTCGGGAGGGTCATCTACAGGTTGGTTCCAACTCGACGTGCACAAAAGCAACAACGTTTCTTTCCCCAAGGGGACGCCATATACTTCAAAGTTTGCACAGCACTGCTGCTAAGTTCTGCGATCCTGCTTCTTATGCCTCGGCTGATTTGTATTTTCAGGAATCTGTTCTTCATTTCTGGCAGTTTCAGCACCTCTACGGCACCTTCTCCAGTGAGCCAGAATCTCAGTTTTGAAGAAGCCTATACGCCCTCATTAATTTCTTATTTGGTGTCTCTTCATCAGTCTTGAAAATATTTTAGTGCCTTTATCGATGTATAATTGACTCATAATCAACTAGGTATATCTAAATTGCGCCGTAAGTTTTGACATGTTGTTGTTGTTGTGTACTACAAGGGCTGGAATC